ATTTCTGAAAAAAAAAGCATGTTTATTTTTTTCTCTGTTTTAGACTTCTTGTGTTCTTTGTCTCTATTTTCACCTTTCCAAATTGGACTTTGGATATATTACTGGTAAATCAGCAAATTACTTTCAACCGTGGAACTAATAGAAATGATAGAATTTTTTTTTTTCCCTCATTTGGGGCAATATTTGGTCACCTGATACCTAGATGCCATTCCAGGTGCTTAATGTTTTTTGATATTCTAATAATGTAAACCAAAGCTTTCTTCTTTAGGAAAAAATTAACATGGAAAATCCATACTATATAGGAGGTCAACATAATAAAAGGTTAACTTGATATTTAGAGATTTATAAAGAACACATGGAGGTGTTTGATGCTAATTACACATTCCAGGTATGTAGATTTGAGAGCGTTTTCCTTCCTTAGGACACACCAGAGTTATAATACTATTATACCAAATATCATAAATAAACACCTTAGCAAAAAAAAAAAAAAAAAAAAAAACACCTTTGCATTTTGCTGTTTGTATGGAGACTGACCATGACCACTTTACTGCCTATTTATAAGCTGAATCATTGAGCTTGTCAATATGATGGTAACTAAATTATTGCTGGCAATTGTATGAGTTTGTTAAAAATCTAGTCAGATGCTATTAAATAGTATTTAATGAGCCTTCTGAAAAACTAAACTTAAAGGTATTCAAATTTATTTTAGAGAGGGGCAAAATTTTTAGACTATGCCAACTAGATTTCCCTATAAAGTAAACTCCTCTGAAACTTTCCTTGTAATTTTTAGAAAATAATTTGGCAGTTTGAATCGAGAGACTTAAAAATAGTTATATTCTTTGTCCCTATAATACCACTTATGAAAAGCTATCCCAAGGAAACAATCAAAAATGTGATAAAAGATTTAATGAGTAGGATGCTCATTACAACATAATTATATAGGGAAATAAAAGGAAATAATACAAATGTCTAATATTAGATAATGGTTAAATATATCATCTCTGTGTATTATAAGTCTATGCTGTCATTAAAAATCATGTGCATTTCTAAAAGTATATATATAATTTCACAGGAGTTTTATGCAAAGCCACTTTAGCTAATTTATCCCAACTTTTTAAAATGCACATGTACAAATAGAATATAAAAGACTGGTACATGATAACTATTATTAATATTTTGATATACCTCTAGTTGGTGGAATTAGGGGCTTTTTTTCTTAATTTGTTTTTTAAATTTTTCTTATGACCTAATAAATTATTTCTAATGTGTGACTTATTTAATTTTTTAGTCATTTGCCAGTTTTCCTGTTTACCTATCTTTTCTTTATGCCAGTACCAAACTTGAAAGTCAGCTAAAATGAGGAATTATGAGAATGATGGGAAACAAAAGGGAAGGCTAGTCCCTTGCCCCCATAGTAACTTGATTTTTACAGATAAAAGCATAATATGTATCTTTCCCCCAAATACTCCAAAATAAACAATTAAGCAGAAAGCCATATATATATATGATTTCTTGGAGCCTTATGCTGTGCTGAATTTAGACTGTGGTCGAGGTATGATTTCACCTTTCAGAAATCATGAAGCTTTAAGTGAAGGTATTCATCAGTGCCAGCCTTTTAGAAGTGGTAAGGGAAAAATAGTCCACTTAGCTCCTTGCAGAGTCTCTCCTCAGAGGAAAGAGTGTAGTACAGAAGTAGACTTGTGACTGCCTAACTGGGCCATCACAAAAGAAGGGACAGCCTTGCAAGATGTTTACATGATGTTGAAGCCAGAGGAGACCACCAGCCAGACAGCGCCACATCCTTACAAAGTGTCACCGTTTGTGGCGCTCTGCTCAGTAAAAAGAGCATTATGAGAAAAAGCAGGGGGTGGGGGCGGGGATGGACAGAGAATTGTAGACTCAAATTCCAAGTTTAGAAAAGACAGTATTAACAAAATTGAAAATTAAAGATTTGTGTGTAACTGAATTCAGGTGGCTTAGAAATTGTTAGTGGATTTCTTCTTTTTTGTTTAATTATTTATTATTATTATTATACTTTAAGTTCTAGGATACATGTGCATAACGTGCAGGTTTGTTACATATGTATACTTGTGCCATGTTGGTGTGCTGTACCCATCAACTCGTCAGCACCCATCAACTCGTCATTTACATCAGGTATAACTCCCAGTGCAATCCCTCCCGCCTCCCCCCTCCCCATGATAGGCCCCGGTGTGTGATGTTCACCTTCCCGAGTCCAAGTGATCTCATTGTTCAGTTCCCACCTATGAGTGAGAACAGGAACTTAGCTAGAAATTTACTTTCTTCCTGCCAAGGACATCCAGTAATGCTTCTTTGTGACCACAAGCTAGTAACTTTCTGAGTCTCAGTTTATTATCTCCTAAATGGGGATAATAATAGCACCTAACTCATAGGATAGCTGTGAGTAGGTAAAAAATTTAGCACAGTATCTGAAACGTATTACAGATTTAATGCAAAGGGGTTCTTCTAATATTAATTATGTTTATATTATTGCACATTTTATCTCATAAATGTAAATGCTTTATAATTAAGAATATATTTCACTAAATTTTAGCTGTATTTTGCTACCCTTACTGCCTACTGAAGCTTTAAGATCTTATAAAACTATCTAATAGTTGTTCAATTATGACTGACAATATGTTACTAAATGTATAAGGTTACACTGTATAACAGTTCTACTCCATTTAATAGTGAGTAGTAACCCTAGAGTCAAAGCTACTAGCTGAAGTTCCCTTCCCCAATGTTGCCATAATCATATGTATACCTGTGTGTGTGTGCATGTGCATGTGTGTGTAAGTGTATGTTTATAACATATGGGTATATTTAATTGTCCTATCTTTTCTAGCTTCTATGAAGAGACTATGCTTAAATAATAATTCTAACAACCCAATGACTCTGAAAAGATGGGTGTTTCTAAAATGTTCATATATGTCCCATTTCTATTCTTCCTCTAGAAACATGACATAGATGGGTCTTAGCTTGCCAAAGATATTCTGAGAAGCACCATATTTTCTGAATCTTTGCCTGCTATTGCTGAGCCATACTATTGGGGCCAAATCTCCTAAATTTTCCATTATCTCCTGAACACTTAATACTCAATGCTGAGACAAGTCACCTATGCCTGGCTTTTCTCCTTCCCAATCAACATAAATGACTTAAATATTATTGAATAAGTTAAAATAGTATTTGGACCCATTCAGCTTACCACCTATGAAACACCAGCTACCAATCACAGACGATATTAACCAAAAGTGAATCTGGAATGCCTCAAGAAAATCAGGATGACAGTCAATCTCCTACTAACTTCTTAGGCATTCCTAAACTAAACTAGCCCTGCTAATGTTTCTCAGTGTCACTGAAGAAGCTGCATAGAAAAAAAAAAAAAAAAAAAGGTATAAAATCATCTGTTCGGATAAAGAAGTTTTTATAATCATCTACGTATTTTGTTTCTTGCTCCCTAGGACTTCTTCTTTTCTTTGCCCTCCTCCCACTTATGTCATCTTCAGCTCCCACTTATGTCATTTGCAGCTGCAGTGGAAAGCATTTGTGCTCACTATATTGCAAAGGAGGTGACCGAAAATAAGCTCCCGTGAAGCATCACAGTCATTACATGGGAGCAGTTCTCTGGCTCCACGTTTCAGTTCCTCCAATCTTCCTGCGAGAGATTGACTTTTTCCTTTCTCTAATGTGTTGAAATATGGACATTTTAATAAGAATGGATAAGAATATGGATATTTAAAATAGGCCATCTAGGTTGTAAGAATGACTACTTTTTCTATTGGACTCAGTAAAAAGTAATCATTTTGAAGAGGGAAACATGTGGCTAGAAACCTGTTTAACTTATTTATTGTCCCTTACTTAATATAATGTCATCTGCAGTGACCTCGAGTGTCCTTCACAACATGTTTTCCTCATTAATACTTAGTGTCTTGGAAGCTGCTCTGTAACTCAGAAGTTGAGGATCATTTCTTTAATGGTTGCAGAATGTACAGTCTAATACATACAAGTAGTCAGGGGAAACTACTACCAAATATTTCTAAAATCAGAATGGCAGAAAGAACACAAACGATTATAAAAGAAAATGTCACAGAAAAAACACATGACCAAGTGAGAAAAAAAATGAAGAATACTTATCAACTCTAAGAAAAAAGAAATTTTGAGCAAAATTCTGAGAGAAAACTGCCATTATGAACAGTATGTAACTACAGTGATCTCAAGAAAACAAAACACAAATGTTGTTAACGGTTGACAATTAGAGCTACATGAATGATGTGTGAAGGCCTGAAGATGTTATTTGTTTATTAAAAAGAAGCAGTTATCCATCGTGTATATGCTTGGGTTACAAGTTCATCCCTCATCTTCTTGGTCATTTGTTTATATAGCCCACCAGTGTGGGCTTTACTATTCTAAAATGGATTTGTTTTTCAGAGTCATTAAGATCTTTATACTATTACTCTCTCTCTCTGAACCTAAAATGCATAGCCAAGAAAGCTTGTTTGTATTCTGTTTAGAAAGTGGGTATTTAATTAGTGCCACTTCTATAAACACACCATATTTAAACTGATTACGCTTGTTACACATCACCTCCAGCTATACCTTTAGCAACTAAATGACTCTTCCTCGTCAGGTATCATTTATGTCTTGTTAGTATCAAGAGGAAATGAAATGACATCACACCCATTTAATTTCCCCTCAGGACTCTAAAGTTTCGTTACTATACTAATGGCACTTGTTTGTAATGTGGAGCATTAGAAAAAATGAATAATTTAATAACATTATGTAAAGTGATGAAGGCACATTGTTACAGTCTGCTGTATCATGTATATACTTCTGCCCATAATGCCAGGAAAAGCTGCACTAAAATGAGGCATCAAATTTTGTTATTGTACTGTTTCTTAAAAGTATATACTAGCTAAGATTTTTTTTGCTCCCACCCTTCTTTCCTCCCTCCTTTCCTTCCTTCCTTTCAATATTCCTGACAGGTACTAAGCACAAAACCATGCTGGAAGCCCGGAATGGAAGTGGCACTATCAAAGCCTTTCCTAGGGCAGGAGTGAAAGGCAAAGGACCTGTTAATAAAGGAAATACAGGCCTCCAAAATAAAACATTTCACTGTGAAATCTGTGATGTGCACGTCAACTCGGAAACACAACTTAAACAGGTAAGCAGCAAGTATTCTAGGAGTGAAAACCAACAAGGGACAGCCTTATAAGCAGGATGTGTGTGCTTCCTTCATTTTTATTTCTGTCTTTCTGTCCCATCCACCCATCTATTCATCCATCCCTCCATCTGCCCATCTGTTAACCCACTTATCTTACCTTCACTGTTCTGATTTATTTATGCTTATTTTAGTTGCTTGAGGAAATACTAAAATGTAATAGATTCTAGAGCCTTTCAGAAATTGTTGGCAGTGAGTTTTTACTATTCTTATATATGAAGAGTGGGTAGAGAAGGGATATCAGATCTTTTCTCTACCAGATTTTCCACTCAAAAGTGTTGATTTTCTTTAAAGGTCAATTTGCAGTACTCTATTTTTATTTGTTTAGATATTTACATGCTGCAACTAATTTTATACTGAGCTATTCTTTTATTTTATGTGTTTTATTATATGGTGTTGTACTGTATGTTTAGCTCTTGCAGCCACCTGCAAAAGGGATGACTAATCATGTTGTATTCATTTTTACTATGAATAGCCTTCCAAAGCGATCATTTATACATTGCCAACTGAAGGTCCAGCCCTCATGTTGTGTTTTGTTTTATACATATGTACAATATTTTACTGATTTTATGCACCTTAGTTATTTATCTTTAGAATTTAAGGGTTTGACATTTGACTGTACAAATGTGAGGATAAACATTAGTATGGAAATAAATTCATTCGTTCCTGGGCATCTTTGTTTATTTGCATGTAAAATTCCTTTAGACATTCCTTTCCTTTGTAAATGCTTTTCAAAAAAAAAAAAGACAGAAAAAGAGATGTGTGCAGTGATAAGAAGAAAAGCTAGGAAATAAAAAAAAAAGACACTACTATTTGTTTAAAAATATACTAAAATAGGCCGGGGACAGTCGTTCACGCCTGTACTCCCAGCACTTTGGGAGGCTGAGGCAGGTGGATCAAGAGGTTAAGAGTTCAAGACCAGCCTTGCCAAGATGGTGAAACCCCATCTCTACTAAAAATGCGAAGAATTAGCCATGCATGGTGGCGGGCACCTGTAATCTCAGCTACTTGGGAGGCTGAGGCAGAGAATTGCTTGAACCCGGGAGGCAGAAGTTGCAGTGAGCTGAGATTGTGCAACTGCACTCCAGCCTGGATGGCAGAGTGAGATTCTGTCTCAAAAAAACTATATATATATATATATATATATATATATATATATATATATATATATATATATATATAAAATATGGATAGCATAAAATATATATATCCTCAAGGCATCAGAATCTCAGGACAAAAGTGCATGATCTTTTATTTTTGTCTCTCTGAAACTTGCATGAAATAATGAATAGCTTTCCCCAGGTTAAAGCAATATTTGTGACAGGTTTTTGGAGATGACTTTTTTAAAGCTGTCATTTTAAATTACTTTTAATAGCACATTAGCAGTAGAAGGCACAAAGACAGAGCTGCTGGGAAGCCCCCGAAACCTAAATACAGTCCTTACAACAAACTACAGAAGACAGCACATCCACTGGGGGTGAGTATCATTTGGCAAGAGTCCAGCCTTTATTCCCAAATGGAATTATTGGTTTCTTGATTTGTTCTGGCACTTTGCCACCTTTAACCACAGCCCAGTACCTTTTACCTTTTTGAGTTGAGCTCAGGTTTGTCATAGATCATAGGGAAAAGAGAAAAACCAAACTCTTTTGAGTCAAGTAAGTAATCCCATGAAATCTGGTCTTGATATAAGTTAGTACTTTTGGAAAGAAGGTCAGGAAGAAACAAATTCATGTATATCTTTTTTAATATGTTTAAGAGACAAAGTATTGGTATTGTTGGTATCCTCAACAATTTTGGATTTTGAATAACAGTCTCAAAGTGTAGCTTATTTTATTTAATTATTCATTCAAGGACATTGCATAAAACCCAGGAAATACTTTGTAGGTATTTCCTCTCCCATGACTGCAAATAAGCTTTTTATATTAGTAAGTATACTATTATAATGTCCTGACCTGGATATTTTGGTAGGACTTTAGAGGAAACCTGTGTGAAACATCTTGACATTGTAGATGAATATTGATGAACATGTATATTATTTTGTTTTGTTAGTTTGTTTCTGATTGAAGTGACCATAGCTTTCATCGGAGAGACTCAGAGCTCAATGAAAAGTTAAAAACAACTGATGTATAATTTAAGTTAAATTGTGCATTTTGAAACATTTATTCAAAATAGATCTTATTACTATTTGATGCTATTATGTGCTGCTGACACATGAAAACATAACTAAAGGAAAACTGCGATTATCTATTATGAGACCCCAGTACAAGCTGTCCTGTTAGTTTAGTAGCATTGCCCATTTTGTTCAAATGAACAAATAACTTCAAATGAAGTTATTTAATTTTGTATCCTGAAACTTTACTGAAGTTGTTTATGAGCTTAAGGATCTTTGGGGCCAAGACTATAGATTTTTCTAGATATAGGATCATTTTGTCTGCAAACAGGGATAGTTTGACTTCCTCTCTTCCTCTCTGGATGCTGTTTGTGTTCTTCTCTCGCCGACTGTCCTGGCCAGGGCTTGCAATACTGTGTTGAATAGGAGTGGTGAGAGAGGATACCTTGTATTGTGCCGATTTTCAAGGGTAATGCTTCCAGCTTTTGCCCATACGGTATGATGTTGGCTGTGGGTTTGTCATACATGGCTCTTATTATTTTGAGATATGTTTCTTCAGTACCTAGTTTATTGAGAGTTTTATCATGAAGCGGTGTTGAATTGTATTGAAAGCCTTTTCTGCATCCATTGAGATAATCATGTGTTTTTGTCTTTAGTTCTGTTTACATGATGAATCACATTTATTGATTTGCATATATTGAACCAACCTCTCATCCCAGGGAAGAAGCCTAATTGATCGTGGTGGATAAGCTTTTCGATGTGCTGCTAGATTTGGTTTGCCAGTATTTTGTTGAGTTTTGCATCGATGTTTATCAAGGATATTGGCCTGAAGTTTTCTTTTTTGTTGTGTCTCTGCCAGGTTTTGGTATCAGGATGATGCTGGCCTCATAGAATGAGTTAGGGAGAAGTTCCTTCTCAATTTGGAGGGATGAAATAATCTGTACAACAAGCCATGACACAAGTTTACCTATATAACAAACCTGTATATGGACCCTTGAACTTAAAATAAAAGTTTAAAAAAGTGAAGTTACTTTACTTTTCTGTAAAGACACAATTTTAGCTGGATTGGGAGGCGAAGAATTCTGCACAGTGCCTCAGCACCACTAGTCATAACCCTGAATGCTATCTCTGTCCAGCATAGATGCAGCTTTTGACAATCGAGTGAATGGTTCTTAAATAAACAGAGTAGTCAGAATTGTGTTGCTATTAGTATTTAAACCCTTCTTCTTCACTATCACTATGTTACTGACTCCACAAATGGGAACATTCTCTCAGTGAGAACAGGTATTTTGTGATGTTACTAGCCAGAGAATGAACTGGCTTTGTAGAGAAGGACTGAGAAAATGTGGTTACCATTTGCACAAAGAAAAAGTGGAACATGTCAAAATTTAGCAGAGAAAAGGAATTTTTGGTTGTTTTTAAAATTTCTCTATTGAAAGTGGAATTTTATTGTTCTTATTTATTTTGAATAGTGCTTCATACAACTGGAAACAACATTCTCTGTGTAACCCAGGTTACACACTTGGATAGTCCAATGGCATTTGATAGCATTAAAAATCTCTTTAGAAATGCATGCTCTTTAATAGTTAATGTATGTGTAAAGGGTGATACAAATATTCTATATTTTCTCATGGTGAATACTTTCCTCTGAAAGCATAATTTTCAACAAACATAAAATAAAATAAGGTTGCTGAGTACTTTTCTGGAGGACTTTTCAAGCATTCCTGGTTGGCCATTTTCAAGTATCTTCCAACTCTTCCAAAAGGAAAATGTTCTATACCTCCCATTTTCTTTGTTGTCAGTTCACAAGTGTGAAGCTTTTTTCTTTATAGTTGTTTACTGCTATATTTTTAAAGCTCCCTACCATTTTGGGTTTTAAGTACGGATTCCAAAGCTGTTGTTCTTTTACAATACTTTTTCTCCCTTGCAGGTAAAATTAGTATTTTCAAAAGAACCTTCAAAGCCATTGGCACCACGAATTCTACCAAATCCTCTAGCAGCTGCAGCAGCTGCAGCAGCAGTGGCTGTGAGTTCCCCCTTCAGTCTTCGAACTGCTCCAGCAGCAACACTGTTCCAGACTTCTGCGCTTCCTCCAGCACTCCTGCGGCCAGCTCCTGGACCCATTCGGACCGCCCACACTCCTGTGCTGTTTGCTCCTTACTAAATTCCAAATAGGAGTAATTGTACTGCAATAATTTTTCAAAAAACAAAAAACAAAACAAACAAAGAGAACTATGCAGTGTTTATTTATAGTTTAAAGTATATCTGAAGAGCCAGGACTTTTGATAGTGAATTGAAAAGGTTATAAAAAAGGGGGGGAGGTATGGGGGTGGGAGGGAGGGAGTGGTATTTTCTCCAAATTAAAGCATTCCTCTTGAATGTTGATTGTTTTAGAAGTGATCTCCAGCATTGATTTGTAGTGGTATCTAGAACTTCTGAAGCCTCTGTGACTGTGCTTTTGGGTACCTATTTCCCTCTGCATTGTCTTTCCTGCTTTATGAAACAACTATACATTGTCTAAGGGCATTAACCGGTTCCAATGTATATAAAATAATTTACTCTGTAGATTAAATCATACAAAAAAGGAAAAAAACAAAAACAAAAGCAACACTGTGAATAGTACTACCCGTGCTGGTCCTCTTGCTATGACAGCAATTACTGGGTATTTATCCCAACAAAAGTAGATACAGTAGATGTCTTGTAAAACAATAGTGCTGTGTCTCAATCTATGCCACTAGGTTTTAAAGAATTGCAAAGGTAGAATGAACAACTATTTCATATCAATAAGCAGTCAAAAAATAAACATACACCAGATGGTGTCATGGAGGTCTCCCTGGTCAGCATTCTCCCCTCCTGTATGGCTTGAAGATATAGCAGAGCTAAGCTTAGAGATGGGGGAGGTATTAATAAAGGTGATTTCTTACAAAGTACTAACTTCCCACCCTGAAGATATATTGCTGGAAACAGGGAAGTGTTTATAATGAACCTCTGTCTGCAAATAGATAAACCCATGCATCATGGGTGTTAAGAAAGAAATCAGTACAACTCTTCTGTTTCAAGGATGAAGGATCATAACCTAGAATGATAATGCAAAGTAAAGATCTTGAATTTAGTACATATCCAATAAAAACAGAGAATATTACATCTCTGCAGTATCCCCTTTATATCATACCAGTAGGGTTGTTTCTTAGGCAAAGGTTTCTGCTTTAAGTATGATGGTAGAATTAAGCATTAGCTATTTTTATGGGTTTTTCTTGTTTTTTAGATTTCCTGCTGACATGATATAAACAATTAATATATATTTAATGTTATTAACAACAGGAAATATGAATCTGAGTTAATTGCACACCAATGACATAGTGTTAAAAAATACTGGTAAGTTCCACTCGACAATTATTTCTCCAGTGGAGTTGTGAAATACTAACAGCCTTTGATATTCACCATCAGGCTGAAAGAAGTTGATGTTTTACCTTTAAAACAAGATTTATCAGGGGTATATATAAATATATGTATATTGTATATATGTTAGAAAGAGTAAGAGAATAACTTATAAAAAGAAAAAATCTATATGACATAATTATATAACCACCCAGTGTTACATGTTATCATTAAATTGGTAACAAATGGCATAAAAATAGCTGTGCCTTTAATTTGTGATAAAGGCTATTTGCTTTTTCCCATAGAAAGCTAACATATACCTATCAATATGGTGGGGTTTGATGCAGCCAGTCTGTTGAATTAATAAGAAAAATGACATTCAAACTTAGAATTATGACAAAACATACATGATTTAGGTTTAGAGAAAAAACTATTTTTGAAAAGGTTTTGTAAAGACTATTTAAAAATATAGGGAAGGATTGGGTGTGGCCTTCCTGAAACTGCTCTTAAAGTGTTGTAACCCTTGGAGAGGTATAAAGAATCAAGAGAAAACCATTTGAGAGATAGGTATTTAGCATTTATCATTTTGTATTTAAGAAACACCCATAGCGTGCTTGGTGCTCAACATTATACATGGTTTTTGGAGTTCTTCTCCACCATCTAGCTATAGAAATTTGTCATATAAATTAATCTTTAAAGCAGTTGGCTTTATATATCTTTTGTTAAACAACCAACCAAAACAAAAAAAAAGAAAGGAAGGAAGGGAGGAAGGAAGGAAGGGGGGAACGGAGGGAGGGAGGGAGGGAGGGAGGAAGGAAGGAAGGAAGGAAGGAAGGAAGGAAGGAAGGAAGGAAGGAAGGAAGGAAGGAAGGAAGGAAGGAAAGAAGGAAGGAAGGAAGGAAGATAATGTGTTCCATCAGTATTTTGGTAGAAAGAATTTCAAACCATGCTTCTCTGGTTAAATATATTGATTAACATTAACATTTGCTTTTGAAAGTATCTGGTGATTTTGCATTTACCAGCATCTCAATTCTCTGGTTTTAGCAAGTGTTTCCTTTTTCACCTACAGAGACCCTATTAGTTCAGCCAGGTGGATAGTTGCCCATAAGTTTGCTGTTTGGGGCTCTGCGTGTATCCCATGTGACCAGCTTCTAACCATTTTGAACTTCAGTTTCGCTTTTCTGCTATGTCAAATATTTTGATTTTCCATAGTCATCCTGAATCCCTATCCAACAACCTTTACAACTGATACAGCCTCACTTTCTGTTAGAGAACTTAGTGTTAATTAATGCAATCTCCCTGAAATGTGCTTTTGCTGTTCTTCCCCATTTTCACCAAAGTGAATGAGCCAGTCCACCAGAAATCAGGGCCTGTGGGATATACAGGGTCCTGGGTCACAAGGCATTACTGTCTTTAATGATTTGCTGGGAACAAACAAATCAGCCATATTTTCTCCATCAGCCATATGAGAAAACTCAGAAATACCTGGATCCCTTCTGCCTCACTTCGCTACGGAACCATTTTTGTTTAAATGGTCTTTTAAATTGGAGTTGTAAGCATCAGTTGTCTTTTATTCACTACCTAATAAAGGATGAAGCCTAACCACAGAACTTATAGTGGATTCTCTGTGAGTTGTTTCCCCCGCACTCTGTATATTTATCAATACCAGATTAACATCCATTATAGTTCAGGCTGCCATAAAGCTGTATCTTTTCCCTTAGGGAACTTTTTTCATGAATAAAGATCCACAATTTAGATCGGTCAGCAGTGTGCTGTGAAAATCCCTGAGGGTGGTCTGACTTTATGGTTATACATCCCTTCCCATGCATCACACCATGGCAAGGAAAGTGATAGAGAAAGCAGCTCTGATTCATTTGAAACAAATATAAATGCATTGCAGAAGCCAAATGCCTCTGGAAAAAGCATTGTTGCACCTCCACCAGGTCATCCAGAGAAATGGGAAACAGTCATTGGGGAGGTACTGTATTTCTCTTATGAGAAAACAGGCGATTACACATGATAAATTGCTCCTCTCACTGGACCTAAACTTTGAAGAGTATTTGTTTTATTCACACAAGGAAACATACTTGGCTTTTGGCAATTTATATCACCCCTGCCTCATTTGAAAGGATTTCTGTCTTTAGATACTATTGGACTTCTCCTGATCTATTGCAGTAATTCACTGCCATTATCATCAGAAATGAAATTTGGTTTTTCTAAAGGTGCTACATATTTTGTTGCCAAGAAGCTAGTTAGCAAAGGAATATTTATATGTATTTGAAAATTAAAAGAGCAAGAAATAATAAAAGACTAAAAATTAAAAGATAGCAGAAGTTTCAAAATAGAATCAAAGTGGCTGTGCCTATTTGAGTTTCTAAGACACAAACCAACACATAGTAGACATGAGCATTAAATATCACTTATTACAATTAAATTTTAAATTAATATCTTTGTCTTTGTACCAGTGTAATGTTTCAATTGTTCAGAAGAAATCAGATCACAAAGCTAAAAGATAACTGAAGTGGTATATAGGCCTCTTTCTTTAGATCTGAATTGATGTGGAAAATTACCTTTCTATACGTAAGCATGGATAACATTGTATTAATAACTTTGTGCACCCAAAAGCAGCATGAAGTGGTGGGGAAAGCAATGAGGAGCCTTAGAGTAGCCAGGGTCTATTGTAGACTTTGTCCCTGACCAACAGTCAACTAATGCCTTGCTCTTAATTTCTTCATCAGTAAAATAGATGACGGCGATTAACAGTTAAGCTGGTTTAATATATCAGCACTAGAGGGGCACTGCTTTTATCCTCTCAGGAATTAAAATTATTTATTCGAGTGACCAATACAGCTACTCACAAACTTGCATGTGTCCAGAAAAATATTCCGTATTCCTTTCCATCTTGAATGTAAACCACATTGTAGGTCATTCATATGCTCAACCAGAATGTACATTTCACCAACTAATACTGGAGTAGTTGCTAATTCACTTAGTACTCACTTATTATGACTGCACTTATGCTAACATCATGTAAGATATGCTACTTCTATTTTCCCAGTCAAGAATGTGATAAATTCTGAACAAAACCAACCCTGAAAAAGTCAATAGCCAGCTGGCAGTGGGGGTGTGGAAAGGAACAACAATTTAAATGCATCATCCTTATTTCTTTTGTTGCACTTTCTCTCAATAGGAAGAGGTCCTGACTGCTTAGTCTAAGCAGTCTTAGACTAACTCTGTCCTGAGTTTGCATGTATTTTAACTAACGGTCACCTTATTAAGACCATTTCTTCCACAGACAAGTATATCAGTTATGCACTCTTATCATTGTTACAGGAATTATTTAAACTGAGTCCTAACAATGAAAATTTTACTTGACTTTTGCTGATTTTTTTCTTTTCTACATGGGGAGATTTATCTCTGGAACATCTCTTGTGTTTTTGTACGATCTGCTTCAGTAACTAGAGAGGCTACTATCAGGAGGTGAAATGGATCATTTCTGTGGTAGGTCTCCATTGTCTACATAGTGCTTTTGAGAGTGGTATCAGGGTGTCCAGTGAAGGATGGATATGTTGACATGTCATGCTCATGTGGCCTAAAGGTTGTTACTGCCAGGAATGGACTTAGAGCTTACCAGAATGTGAATGGTGACAAAAGGCAAGTTCTCCTCTGGAAAAATATCATGTGTTATTTTATTTGAAGTTCATGTGGGTCATGAATCGTCACAGAGTTTAAAGAATTCTATGGTTGGGTCATCAATGTTCAGATGGCAAGGGACTGAACATTACCTTCAATTTGAGGGTCTTCTCTTTCCTCTTCTCAGTGATGGAAACTCATCCTTTCTAGGTGGCTAAATTGACTGTAGAAACTGCTAAAATGTATTTGTCAAATGAAGTAAAATCTGATTATTAATATGTATGATCAGGTAGAGTATCTTAGAGTTTGGTTAAGTTAACTAAGACAGCAGAGAATGGGGTCATGTTATTTTCAGACTGGCAGGTCATCTCTAAAGGCAATTTTTAAAGAGTAGGGCTAAAATGATTTGTGAGCAAAGAAGTATCATTAAAAATAAGTAATAGTATAGTGACAAGTTCTAAGGTTAATGCTTATATACACACACACACACACACACATACAGAATTGTAAAACTATGAGTCTTAGTACCTGTCACTCTTATACAAAGTCATGGTAAAATCATTTTATTTTCAATGATTAGGTTGGTTTTACTTTAAGAAAAGGAACTCCAATTTCACACTTGGGAATCTTAATCATTTTAGTGCATTGGAGGGGCTGGGAAGTAGATATAATGTTAAGGTATTACGCACTCTAGCAGGACTATTATGCTAACAGTTTGAGTTGGGTAATACAATTGTATCATTTCACATCAGCTACTGACTTTGAGTATAGAATTTGAACCCTTATACAATCTTCCTCAAATCCAGGTAGTGTGCAGGACGTGGTATAACAAGACTACGGAAAATTAGCAGAGAGCACCTTAATAGGAAACCCAGATTGTGTTTTTGCCAGTATAACAAATATTTTTAAAGTCTCTCAGTAATAAGATTGTCCAACATAAATCTATTGAGAAACATTGATGTTAGAGAGTTTTGAAGCTATAGTGAAGTGTGTTACATTTTGTTAACCAAAAAACCAAAATGTGGGTTTTATTGGACGTTTGTCAACCCAACTTAACACATATTATATAATTTCAGTATCGGACCCTAGGGCTAGGGGCAACTAATATTGGATAAAGACCCTTCGTGAGATGCTTTATGTCTCTTGTGATGTTATGCTAACATTAGTAGAGATGAAAAAGAAATTAAGTTCATGAGATCTTGGAAAGTTTAACTTTTATCAAATAGTCAAGAAAAATTCCATTTGATGGCATCTGGTTTTTAAACGGATTATAGAAAAATGTGTGGAAGTACTGGATATTGGTGAAAAAGCCTTGTGGCCAAGGGATCTGGGCACAAGATTGAGCATCACAGAACAGTGAGCACAGTTGTTGGCTTCACTACCAATCATCTACAAGGAAACTGGGCCAATTCACTTGACATTTTGATGATTCTCTCTGATAAAAATAGGGATAATGACTGATTACAGAAATGTGCTTTTAAAAAAGCTGAATTTAGTAAAGCAAGTCATTTGCTACTCAAAATAGCTCCAAAATCTAAGCCATATTTCTATAAATTTCATAAAATTGTTTTAAAATGTGACTTATAGTTACAGGGTGTATATTACTACATATTTAAGATGGAACTGACCTAATGCCAAAGCTATATCACTTGTAGCTATGTTCGCTTTCTGTTTTGTCCTGAAAAAAGGTTGGAGTATTTTTAAAAATATATTTTTTAATCTGCACATGGAGCTATATGCAAAGAACATTGTTTCTTTGGGGAATATTTTTAGTCATAGTTTCTTTCAATTTATTTTATCAGCCAAAATCTTATATCAGTTTCAACTAAGGTCTCCTAACTTTAGTCAATAATTTCTTCTAATAATGCTTAATTCACTGAAATTTTACAACAAATTTTAAATTGACTCCTAAGAGTGGTCATTTGGGGAAAATTTAATGTTATCCAATGTATGATGAAATATTCAGCTTTCACAAAAACTGGATGTTTGGCTACTTTAAAATGGCTGTTCTTCACAATAAAACTACAGACACTATCAAATAAATTGAGTGATAAGTATGTCTATTTACTAACATGAGCCAATTTGAACTTTAGTTTCGAGATCTAAAAATATCTTAA